GAAAAAAAAGAAAAGAAAATAGAAATCCCAGTTACCCTGTTCTGTGAAGCTAGAAAAAAAACAAACAAAAAACTATCAGAATTCCTACAGTATCGCCAGTTTTCTCTCGACTTTTCAGACTTTCGATCTTTTTAAATTTATGGCACCTTCAGGACCATTCCCCATGGGAATAACGCCCAACAGGCTGTGTATTCGAAAGATGACCATACTCAGATGTGTCATACACTGGCTGAGAAAGGAAAAGAAAAGAACGAAGAAAGTATCGAAAGCCAAAGTGCGTACTGAACATTAGGCTTTCACACAACAATCTAACTATCAATCTTTATTATCATAGGATCTGTATGGAATTTACTTTTTAAAGTGCAACTTGAGGAAAAAGGAGAATCTCTTAAGCAGTTAAAAAACTAGTAATCAGAAAAGAAACGAAAACCCATCATGATACTCAGTCCGAAATGCGTTGCCACGGAAACAAACTACTATCTTTCAACCGCTATCGTTTCAGAGAGACCAGGAAGTGACTCATGAGATGACATCAAGGCACGACACCGGAAATAAGAGACTGATCTGGCTATTCCCCGGGGTGGCCCGCCATTCTGCTGCTGCATGCCTCCGACCGCCAGCCGTAATTATTTTTAAGAGTACAAGTATCCTTGGAGTCATTTGTATAATCGCAACCTCCTGTTTACAACAGTGTACAATTCGGACTTCCAAATTGGCAATGGATAGTTCATTGATTGTTATTGTTATTACTTTATTGTTAGCATTATCATTATCATTACTATTGTTATTTCATTGTTATCATCATCATCATCATCATCATCATCATCATCATCATCATCATCATCATCATCACCATCACCATCACCATCATCATCATCATCATCACCCTGGCATAATATGTAGTGCAGCAGTTAGTAGTTTCTCTGTTGTACGCAGGAGACCCAATTTTGATTCCCCGAGTGGGGAGAAATTCTAAATCGAGTACCTCGATCTTTCTGAAGGGATTTAGTATTCTACTCAGCCCGAGTTGGTCCTGACAGGCTGGGCTGAATGCCCGCCACTTTAATTATCTAAATATCGTCGATGGGTACGTCAAATCGCCAGCATTAAAATAATAAACATCATTATTTTTATCATCATTGATATTATCACTGTTTCTGTTCTTATGGTGGTGACAGAAGGGGTGGTGGCGGTGCTGGTGGTGGAGTAGTAGTAGTAGTAGTAGTAGTAGTAGTAGTAGTAGTAGTAGTAGTAGTAG